GAAATATTAATCTAGCAAACCTCATCTTATCACTCTGTTGAATTTAAGCATCTGAGAATATTTACAAACTGATTTGAAGATAATACTTTACTGTAACATCAATAGTTTAGGACAGTTTTCATGAGAACCTGGAACTCCATTTGAGACAGTTAAGTTGTGTGTCAACTTGGCTGGACCTAGTTTTGAGTGGCTGGGCAGCTAGATGTAGTTATTCCACATGGTGAGACTGGTAATCAACTCATGGTGGAATCTACTAGAGTGGCTGAGTAGCTGCCTTAGGGATGTGGTCTGCTTCCAGTATATAAGAAGCTTTGAGAAAGGTCTCTGCAGCTTTCTGGCATGCTTGGAACCTGCATGTAGCCAAGTCTTCATTCAGCAGCCTGCTATATTTCCTGCTGATCTTGGGACTGTCTCTGGACTTGGAACTAGTGACCTGCCATGTTGTTTGGCAATCTTGGGACTGTGCCATTTTATTTGTCGCCCTTGGGTTTGTCAGCTTCAGCAGCCAGCAGGTGAGCTAAGAGAAGCCTCCAACTTCCATGAGCTGGGAGCAAGAGGCAGAGCTGGAGCACAAAGTTGAGGGGCTTTCACCCAGCCTCTAGAGCTGGCACATTGAACTCAGACATCTAGCCTCCTAAACTATAAGAGAATAAACTCCTGTTTGTGAAGACTACCCATTTGTGGCAATTTCTGTTAGAGCATCACTAGGTAACTAAATGCCAGAACTGATCTAATACTCCAGGTTACCACAAACTTGGTACTATTAGACACAGTAATAAGATAGATTAATTATCATAGACACTGTAAGTACGTCTACTACTTTCTCGTTATCTGGTAAAGTTCTGAGAATTAAAAAAGTTCTGAGAATTAAAATGTCAAAAATAAAATTAACCTACGTAAACTTAAAGAAATCTTATTAAAATTATGTAAATCATTGAAAGAAATACCTTAAACAGAGTCCAAGATTTCCCTTAATAATAAATTCAGTGACAAATTGCTACTGTAGAGCACACACAAGTATTTCCCAGTGGTGCACATTCTACTATATGATAACATGTTAACAATGTAAGTGAATTCCTGTTCTGGCAAAAATAAAAAATGACAGAGTCCAAAATGTACAATATGTTAATTTCTATGTTGTATGTATTTATGGAAATATAAATAAGAATAGATTTTTCTTCTTTATTGCCTAATTATTGCTTGTCACATATCAAACATTGTGTTATAATTATTTGCTTTATGGAGTAGTCCATAATATCAGTAAGTGGTTTGGGTGACCAGATGTTGGCAGGAAAAATTAAGGGCACATTAGTCATGGTCAGCCACGCAGAACCTCAACATCAATGTCATATATTTTTAGCCTTATGTTACATTGCTGAGATTAGCTTACTGACAAACTGGGTATACAGTGCATATTTAAATTTGTAATAATCAAGTACTTAAAGATGTTCTGTAAAGGATAACTATGCTCTCTCTGTATTTTTCAAGCATAATCTATTTTCAGAAGGAGCCCTGGTGGCACAGTGGTTAAGCACTTGGCTATTAAACAAAAGGTCGATGGTTTGAATCCACCATTGGCTACACAGGACAAAGATGTACCAGTCTGCTTTCATAAATATTTAAAGCCTTGGAAACTCTGTGGGGCAGTTCTACACTGTCATATAGTATCACTGTGAGTTGAAATTGACTTGACAACAATGGGTTTTTAATCTGTTTTTAGATTCAAGTTTATCTAGGTAACCTCTACCAAAAAGTAAAAAGATTCCAAAGAAAGAAGTAAATTTCTCTAATAAGAAAAGAGGGGTAGAAATGGTGAGGAAAAGGTAGTATTGTTAAGAACCCAAAGTCTGGGGCCAAACTAATCATGTTCATGTAAATAGCTCTGCCATGTACTGCCTGTGTGATGTTGGGCAAGTTACTTAAATTTCTTGTGCTCCAGTTTCCACAACTCTAACACGGGGTTACTGTGAGGATAAAATGACATAAATGGATGTGAGATGCACAGAACGGCATCTAGCACACAGTAAGTACTTCTATGTGTTTGTTATTATCAATAAACTAAAGTTTAGCACAAAGAATGTAAACTATGTAAAAGGAGGCATTTTCTTAAAAGGAACTCAACAAATTCAACAAGTATCCATTTGATAAGTATTTACTCTATGATGCAGGTGCTGTCCCAAAAGCACAAGGGCAGAGGAGGAAACAGGACAGATGAGATTCCTACTCTCATGTAGATTACTCAAAAAAACTCACTGCCGACAAGTCGGATCAGAGTCATAGTGACCCCTCCTTGGGTTTCTGAGGCAGGATGTCTACAGAAGTAGATTGCCCAATCTTCCTTCTGAGAAGTGGCTGGTGGGTTTGAATCAGCAGCCTTCTGGTTAGCTGTCAAATGCCTTAGGTACTACGCCACCAGAGTTCCTCCCATGTAGCTTAGAGAGACCAAAACAACAACAACAGCAGAAAAAATGTTGCCCTGGAGTCAAATAACAGGTAAATAATGCAACAATAACAAAAATCAGATTGTACTACTAAAGAAACAAAGTAATAAGGAGAGAACAGGTGAAATAATCTATTTTGAAATTCCATTTTAAGAAATGCAATGAACACATAAAGAAAGGTCTATATGCTGATGTCTTATTAAAGAAAAATTACCCCTAAGCTCCTATACTCAAAATTTGTTTCCATGATGATAGTTCTTAAATTCTTCTGCAACTTATGGTCACTAAAATAGCTGCATCGACTTGGAGGTGCCTTTGGGTAGCCAGAGCCCACAGAAAAGCAAAGTCTGTCTGATCTGAGCACAGACCTGTGAATCTCAAATTCAACCATTAACTCTTTATGCGACTCTAACAAGCTACTGAAACCTTCTCCATTTAAGGATAACAAGCTAAACCTAAGAACAGTTTAATATTTGCCCCAAGAATTCCATCTCAGTAAACTGTCAAAATGAGATTAAAATTTGCTCTATACCCAGACAGTATTGAATGGAGCTAGGAAAAACAGCACTATGTGACTTGCAGAAGTTGCATATTCTTTTCATTTTCTGTGATTACACTAGAGACTCTACAGCACACATGAACCAATTGTTTCCAACTTTCGTTCAGTATTTAATACCCAAGATAAACTTCTTAAAAATATTCTAAATAATTTATATTAGATTATATGTTTGATCTACATAATTACATAATAATTGAGGAAAACTATACCTCACTCTGAAGCTGTGTAACTTCTCTTGCAAAGACACTGTCAATAGTGGCTGGCATCTGCTTATAAAGAGAGTTGGAAAGGTCTGCCTTAATGGTGCCTTTGTATTTGGCCTGGGGTAAAAAAGAAAAGGAAAGAAAAAAAAAAAAGAAATTCCTTATTTCTTTTACTGTGACTATAGAAAGAGAATAAAAATAAACTTTCTTCAGAAATACATTGATTTAAAAGTTGAAATACCATTTTAGATACTGGTTCTGACAAGCATGTTCTGAAGAGATATAATAAATCCAATTTATCATGGAGAAAGATTTAAATGAGACAAGACATAAAATAATGTTATCCATTTAAACCCATGCACATTTCTAAAAGTAAATTTATTTGTGTATATAGAAAACTTCACCTGTTTGGTCAGTTGAGAAAAGAATCTGAGAACAATGGGAACATTGAGTCGTTGCAGACACTGCAAGTCATTAGAATTTATTATACAGAGCCTGAATGCAAAGGACAGTGGTCCTTCATTCAAGTCTTCTTAAGCTCCTTCTACTACAATGGGTGGTATTTTTGTTATTGGTACTGCCTCAACTCATGCCAACCTCATGCACAACAGACAGAAATGCTGTCTGGTCTCGTGCCATTCCCTTGATCAGGTGCAGACTGGGCCATTAGGATCCACAAAGTGTCTTCACCGGCTGAGTTTTGAAAGTAGATTGTGAAGCTTTTCTTCCTAGTCTATCTTAATCAGAAAGCTCCATTGAAACCTGTTCAGCATCACAGCAACATGCAAGCCCCCACGGACAGATGGGTGGCAGCTGTTCACAAGGTGCACTGGCCAGGAATCAAACTCACGTCTCCCGATGGAAGGCGAGAATTCCACCATTGAATGACAACTGGCCACATGCTCTGGGTAATGGAGGTACTTTTTGTTGTTTCTGTCTCTCCATCTAACTCTGCACCGTCCCTAGAAATCCCCCTCAATATTCAAAAAGAGCAACAACCAAAGAGAAACACCCATTCACCATTTCTTCTGTCGAAAATCAAGTTTAAGAAAACACAACAGACTGCCCACTTTCAATTTTTTTTCCCTATAGTTAACTCCTTCGGGGGTGGGGGCATTAATAACTGACAATAGCAAGAATTTCTCTGCACATGAGAAACACACAGCTAAGAAGTAATAAGCAATAATCATGCTCTTCACACTCTGTAGACAAGTCCCTAATATGACTCCCACTAAGAATTAGGTTTGACTGTTGATTTGTGAGCACACATTGTTTAAGTCCTTGTGTTCCCAGAAGTATTCTTTGAATTCTTTTAGTTAATAGAAGAAATGTAACTACTTTTACTCAAAGTCTTTTTTTTAAATTAACAGAAATAATCCAAAAATCATGTTGATCTTTTTTGAACATAACTTATGAAACACTAGAGGTCAGTCATTTACAACACTATTTTATTCATACTCTTTTCAAGTTCATCTCTTTTAAACAATCTATTCATAGACCATAGCAATGTCTCATCAAAGAAATCACTGTTAACATTTTTGTGCTTTATAATGCAACATAAATTACAGTCCTAAATCCTCTCAAGATGAGACTATATGGCTTTTCAGCTGGAAAAATGAACCTAATGGATTTCTCACTCTGTGGATTCATAATAAATATCGTTGTTGAACTGAATTTTATCACCTTCACAAATAGCTCAAATTGATTAAAAATTATTTACCAGAGACATTTTATGGACTTGACTGGTAAATTTCACTTATTTTCAAAATGATATTCAATAGTTCATATCAAATAAGTCTGTTAAGAAAGAAAATAATGGAATGGCTAAAATTAACTATTTTTTCCAGTGCTTTCCACTTAAGTATATAAAAATATTCCTTTTCAAGAGTAATTCCATAAAAATAAGAAAAGGCTGGAGTCAAAATATATAATAAGCCAACATTTATAATAAAATATATAAACCATATTTTGCAAAATATATCTATTTCTATGAGTTCACTAACAGTGCATAAAAGAGTACTGGGTTTAATAATTATAAGCTAGCATTATAAGCTACTTCAGCTCTTCCATATTTCTCACATTTATTACACAGCACAAACTTCTATAGTAGTTCTTAACCATGGCTGTATATTACATCAACAGGAAACTCTTAAAAAATATTGATACTTGAGGCATCACCCCAGATTAACTATATCAAAATTTCAGGGGTACAGGGCCTGGGTAACTGGGCTTCTTAAAAAGCTTCCCAAGTAATTCTGATGAAGTGAAAACAGAAATTCATCCTAAATAAATAAGTGGGGTTCTGCGAGGTAGAAAGAGGAACCCAAAGATCTGCCAACATTTCCCCTCCCCTACAAATTCTGATCTAACCTTGATTTTCCCTCATTTAAACTCAGTCTCGTAATTTACTTCCTAAGCCACATGATTTCAGTTCAATTATAGACACAATTATAGGCACAATTATGAGAAATTTCAAGCAAGATGCTCATTGAAAGGAATACAAAGATTACTTGCGGGGGGGTGGTTTTGTTGTTATGTGCTGTTGAGTCAGACCCAACTCACAGGGACCCCTCCTCCTTGGGTTTCCGAGGCGGTATCACTATGGAAGTAGATTGCCCAACCTGCCTTCGAAGAGTGGCTAGTGGGTTTGAACCGTCAGCCTTCTGGTTAACAGTCAAGTGCCTTAGGCACAACACTACCAGAGCTCTTGAGGAGGGGGGAACCTGTTAAGGCCGCCTATAGATTATCTTAAAAATTGTTGTCATATTTCCTTTAGACTATTGTGGATTTTTATTACATATTATGTAGGCTATATTAAGGCTAATTATGTGGCCAAAATTTCCTTTTCTACTTTTTTTGGAAAACTAGAGAAATAAAAGCCTTAAAAATTATGTTGCGCCATATGAAATTAATCATTTTCACAATACAAAATAACAAAGCTGCAACATTACCAAAAGCACTGCCATCGAGTCAGATCCAACTCACAGCAACCCTTCTTTGGGAGTGGTTGATGGGTTTGAACCACCAGCCTTCTGGTTAGCAGTCAAATGCCTTAGGCACTATGCTATCAGAGCTCCCTATTTTCTAAACTTCTAAAATGTTGTTCAAATGAAACGTTATATAGATTCAACATTCAACAGTTCCTTCAATAATAATATTCTCCAACTTCAATGCATATGGGTTTTTATCTAAATAAAAAAAAAAAAGAAAATTCAAGTCATTTTGCAAGTTTTTAGTACCTTACCTCAGAAATAAATGCACCAATATTTTTTACATGATTTAGCATAGGAGTATCTGTCACAAATGTACACTTGTCCTTCGATTTTTTATATTCTTCTTTATAATGGATCTTTAAAAAGAGAATAATTTACATAAGGAGAGAAAGAAGAAAAACAATTTTAATGAGCTTATACTGAAATAAGATTTAAGTTGGTAAAAGTCTGTTTTCTAAAGTATATTCCCAAATGTAAAACACTCCTCAAAACAAGCCAAATCAAGTAAATTGATATCCAGCACAGAAATGCAAAAGTGATGAGGTATATCAAGGACAGACTCTTTAGATAACCAGGGATGTATTTATATTTAGGGATCAGCACTAAATATACTGGAACCATGGTGACTATATAGTTCCTGGTTTGCCCAGCTTGACTGGAGTACTCTCTTTCACTTAAACAAGTGTCCTGGTTTATTATTAATTTTAAGTCAATGACTTAAGCAATTAAGCCTGTGGTCAAACAGAAATATAGCTCCCTACCCTCAAGGAAGAAAGTAAGAAGTCCATCAGGACAGCCAATGAAGTTGAGGTAGGAATTGAATAAATAAAGTTTAGGGTTAGCATTATTACCCACACATACTGGACTGGAGGGTTAAATTGCAGCCATGATGGGCTTCCCATTACTAATTACTGCTGTGTTGTTAGCTGTCATGAGGTTGCCCCCAACTCACTGCAGCCTCCTAGGCACCCCAAGCACAAAGGGATAAAGTGCTACCTAGTTCTGGGCCACCCCCATGATCAGTTACAGATTGGACCACTGTGATCCAAAGGGCTCTCATTGGCTTATTTTCCAAAGTAGAACACCAGGCCTTTTTTCCTAGTCCATCTTAGTCTGAAAGCTCTGGTGAAACCTGTTCAGCACAATAGCAACACCAAGCCTCCACTGACAGACAGGTGGCAGTTGTACATGAGGTGCGCTGGCTGGGAACTGAACCTGGGTCTCTCACATGGCAGGCCAGAATTCTACCACTAAACCACTAATGCCCACTATTACTAATTGTTGTTATTAGGTACTATCAAATCAATTTCAACTCTTAGCAACCCCACGGGACAGAGTAAAATGGCCCATGCAGTTTTCTAGGCTGTAATGTACATGAGAGCTGACTGCCAGGTCTGTCTTCCGTGGGGCCTGCTGGGTACGTCTGAACCACCAATCTTTTGGTTGGCAACCAAAGACTCCTTCTATTACTAATAAATTCCCCCAAAATCAAACATACCCAATTTATGGACATGAAGGGGCCTTCCCATCCTCCTCTTTTCCCCCAACAAGAGCACAGCCTGCCGAGAAAGCGTGCCATGTAATGGAGCGGTGAATGCTGCCTTCCTGGAGGCATTTGGATCAGTAAGAGAGAGCCTAGAAAAGCTTTTCTGAGCCTGCTCATTTCTTCTCTCAAATTCATTAGCAAACTGAGTCACCCTTTCCCCCTTAGAAGTGGAGAGAGGCCAGGAGGGTTACCACATGGACACATGAGCCCAAAAAAAGTCAGGAATTATGGAAAAGACTCCCAAATGCAATCCCACTGTCATACTACTTGCTGAAAACTAGGGAGGCAAAATTTAGTACATAGTTGAGAGGATGAAAGTAAAATTTAGGGCTAGTTGAGAGGATGAGGATAATTTGCTGAGATTTGCTATCACCCTGTAATAAAGCCATGTTTATCCATTCAAAATTATAAATACTTATATTGAAATAAAAGACTCCCAGTTCAGATGATAAATTACATGCTTTCCCTAATTATAACCCAAGAGTGAAGTTTAATTGTATACACTACCTGGTTTTAAAGAACATGACCATATTGATGTAACACACTAGCATTACTTAGATTTTACCATATGCAAACGTAATTTGAAGAGTATTATTTGACGAGGTATAGCCAGAGATGAACATATAAAGAAATTTCAAAATCCCATCGTTTCACTACTGTGGCTCTCAGTTATTAAATGTCTACCACATTAAAATTTGCTTTATTCATGAAATCAACATTAGAAAATATTTATCTTATCTGAGCACTAAATTACTTTTTCTTCTCAGAGATTAGCCATAATTTTGGGTTTCTGCAAATCACCCTCCTCACTCACTAGTAATTAAACCGTTAATGGCAGTATGATAAATAGTAGGCTATTTTGATCACAAGGAGGAAAAAAAAAATGTCTTATATAATTAAGTGAGAGAGAAAATAACCTCTCATTAGGCTTAAGTTTGGCTCATTATTTTTATCTTTTGCTACCATCTTTTCCTCATCACATTCACATTCTTCCCTGTGGTGGTATGTACTTATGGCTAGAGGCCTCTCTGATAAGCTCTGACATGAGCAGAATGTTCCAGACAGGAGTACTGGATAAGGGTGAAGTATTTACTTCCTTTGCAACACAGGGAAGTATTTCAGGCTAAATGAGGTCTTCGTTTCTTTCTTGGGTCTCTATTAAAAGATACACATACATGTGTGTGTGTGTGTGTGCACGCATGTGTGATATCTAATGAGTTATATAATAGGGATGAATAAGAAAATGATCTTAAGTTTTTATATAAATATTGAATGCCACAAATTACTAGCCTTCCCATGCCAGGATAATGGGAAAAGAAAGGTGAAAAGGGACTGCATCTGTGAATGACACAAAATCTTGAGTAAAGTAAGAATCACTGCCTAGATCAGCAGCAAGTAGCTGTCAAGTCAGTTTCGACTCATGGTCACCTCATGGGTTTCGGAGCAGAATCGTGCTCCACAGGGTTTTCAATGGCTGATTTTTTGGAAGTAAACAAGTCTTTCTTCCAAGGTACCTCCAGATGGACTCCATCCACCAACCTTTCTGTTAGCAGTCACACACATTAACTGTTTGCACAACTGAGTAGACAAACCTCTCCTAATAGACCCATGCCTACATTTTACAACCTCAGGTTTTTTGTTTTTTGGTGTTTTTTTTTAATAAATAAAAAGCCTTCAAATTGATTCTGACTCACAGCAATACCATATGTTACAGAGTAGGACTAAGCTCTACAGGGTTTTTTTGGGTGTGATTTTTATGGAAACAAACTGCCAGACCTTTCTTCCATGGCACTTCTGGGAAGTTTGAACTGTCAATCTCTGGTTGACGGTCAACTACAAACGGTTTGTGCACCCATGTCTACATTTCACAACTTGAGGTAGGCACTATCTATTGGCTAGGTTGTCTATCCAACACCTTCCCTGCTAACAGAATACAAAGGGATTCATGAGAGGCTTGATCTCAGGGTAGCCAGACCTCTACCGCAGCCTCATATGATAAACTGGTCTAGACCAATCATGGTCATCTCATTCTTCTTGGGCAGTGATTGGTCTAGGAGGTCAAGTACCCAACTCTGGCCATGACACATTAGTGGACGTCTTCACAGCAGTGTTGCTAATGTTTCTGATATGAAGGGAGAGACTTCTCTGATACAAAGGTACAATTTTTTGTCCATTTGCCCTTCTACTCCCTTCCTTTACTGATCACAGAGATGAAGCAATGATGATGTTATCATAAGGCAGTATGTCATCTTGTTACTGAAGGAAGAGTGGAAAGAAAGGCCCTGAGAGACTGATTAACTTCCACAACTGGGCCCACCTACCTCCCAACTTCTGCATAAGGTTGCCTGCTACTTGCAGTCATCTGCACCCATATCCAATGTACAACCCCCACTTATCTTCAAATTGGGGGGGGAAAAAAAAAAAAGACCAACTTGATGGTACACCATCTGATCTGCAACATATACAACTATGAGACCAGAAGAACTAGATGGTGCCCGGCTACCACTGTCATCCACTTGGAAGGAATATAGGAGACCCTGGATAGAGAGGGAGAACAATGTGGAACAAAACTCAAAATCATTTGGAGGAAAAAAAAAAA